CAACTGGTGAACAAACCTGAAACTTCGGTATATGCACTGAGTAGGAATAGAACTGATGACTCTTCAGTGCACCAGAAGGTCCAGCCAACTGAGCCAGATGGGCCAGGGAATACATTCAACTTTTGACTAAATGATCCTTGGTGACAGTATATGGCTCCCACAAAAGAAAGGGCCATAATAAACTCATTTTCCTGTTAAAACTGATGGCTACATTTTCAATTTCTTCATTATATGGACTTTCAATGAGAAAAGGGAAAAATTTGCACTGGACACTGCTTTCTTAAAACATCTGAAAAAAAGCAGGCATTACCGGAACCGGTTTGGCTCAATGGATAGAGTGTCGGCTTGGGGACTGAAGGGCCCTGGGTTCAATTCCAGTCAAGGGCATGTACCTTGGTTGCGGGCATATGCCCAGTAGGGGGTGTGCAAGAGGCAGCTGATTGATGACTCTCTCTCTTTGATGTTTCTAACTCTCTCTCTCTCTCCCCCCCTTCCTCTCTGTACAAAAATCAACAACATATATATATATATATACACACACACACACACACACACACACACACACGTTTGTTTGTTTTTTAAAGCAGGCATTGAAAATATGTCTGGCAGTGGCCAGGTGGCTCAGTAGATTGGAGTGAGGTTCTATACATCAAAAGGTTGGGTTTGATTCCCAATCAGAGCACATACCTAGGTTTCAGGTCCTATGGGGTGAGTTTGGGAAGCAACCAATAAAAAATGTCTCATCTTCCAATTGCTATCAACTAAAAAGTGCTGTCTTGGAAAACCTCACAGGGGTATAACAGAGCATAAATATGGCGAGAAGCAAGATATAAAAATCAGTATACTGACAAGGCTCGCTAACAAATGCCTGCCCACACAGCTAACACTTCAAAGAGGCAGCACCAACTTACCCTAACAAAGCAGAGAGGAAAACTATTAGTTGTGTCAGGTGAAACTTTCAAATGCTGCAGCAGAAAACTGAAGTTAACTTCAACCCTTCAGGGCCGGACACACTTCACTGACAACCTGGGTGTAGACTCCTGTCATTCCACCATCTATCTGCCTCTAATTCCAAACCCTTCCCCTGGAAACAAAAGGAAGATCTTCCTTTCCCAAGACTCTGCTAAAATAAAAAGCACCCAATTCAGAAAGCCTAGAAAAATCTTAATTCCTGAGAAAGTTTAAAACCTTTATCTGTATAAAAAAAAGCCTAAGCTGCCGTTACAGTGGAACCCGTCACTATGATGTGCACTGACCACCAGGGAGAGCGGCTGTTCAGTCAGAAGCCAGGCTCACCGCTGGCTGGCGAGCGCCTCTCCAGCTTCTGCAGCAGGGCTAAGGAGCAGTGAGTAGCCTGCTGCTAAGGAGCAGCAAGCTGAGCATAAAGATCAAGGGATCCCAGATTGCGAGAGGGCACAGGCGAGGCTGAGGGCCCCCCACACACACTGGGCCTCTAGTGATTTGGATAAAATGTGCACTTGCCTGGCCGGTGCTGCTCACTGGTTGAGTGTCAACCTATGAACCAAGAGATCATAGATTTGATTCTCGGTCAGGCACATGCCCAGGTTGTGGTCTCAATCCCCAATGCGGGGCATGCAGGAGGCAGCCAATCAATGATTATCCCTCAATATTGATGTTCCTCTCCCTTTCTCTCTGAAATCAATAAAAAATATAAATAAGTAAAATGTCACATTTTTGGGGGCCATATATGTTAATACCAGATGGTGACATTACACATCTTTCAAAACTGTACCAAGTTGCCCTGGCTGGAGTAGCTCAGTTGGTTGGGCAACCTTCCATTCACCGAAAGGTTTCGGCTTCAATTCCTAATTGTGGTTGTGCAGGAGGCAGCCAATGGATGTTTTACTCATACACTGATGCTTCTCTTTTTTTCTTTCTCTCAAAAACAATTTAAAAAAACTCTTTTTAAAAACCCCTTTTAAAAAACCTTGCTGGTTGCTCAGTGGTTAGAGCATCAGCTTGAGGACTGAAAGGTTGCAGATTCCACTCTGGTCAAGGGCAGGTACTAGGTTCCAGGCTTGATCTTGATTGGTTAGGGCAGTGGTCAGCAAACTCATTTGTCAACAGAGCCAAATATCAACAGTACAACGATTGAAATTTCTTTTGAGAACCAAATTTAAACTTCTTCTAACGCCACTTCTTCAAAAAAGACACCCAGGCCGTGGTATTTTGTGGAAGAGCCACACTCAAGGGGCCAAAGAGCCACAGTTTGCCGACTATGGGGTTAAGGAATGTGCAGGAGGCAACCAACCAATGTGTCTCTCTCACATCACATTGATGCTATTCTCTCTATCTCCTTCTCCCCCTCCTTCCATTCTAACCTCTGACCTGTAAAAGGTGAAATTAGAAAGAATAGAGAAGATGGTGAGAGGGGTTAAGAGGCAGATGTCCAGCCTAAAGAAAACATCTAATGCCTTTTTCAAAAGAGAGAACATTTGAAGCCTAAAGACAGACAAGAGCTGGCCGGTGTGGCTCAGTGGTTGAGCGTCAACCTATGAACCAGGAGGTCATGGGTTCGATTCCTAGTCAGGGCACATACCTGGGTTGTAGGTTCAATCCCCAGTGTGGGGGGTGCAGGAGGTAGCCAATCAATGATTCTCTCATCACTGATGTTCCTATCTCTCTCTCCCTCTCCTTCCTCATTCTTAAATCAATAAAAACGTTTAAAATTTTTAAAAATAGCCGGGACCGGTTTGGCTCAGTGGATAGAGCGTCGGCCTGTGGACTGAAAGGTCCCAGGTTCGATTCCAGTCAAGGGCATGTATAATACCTTGGTTGCGGGCACATCCCCAGTGGGGGGGGTGCAAGAGGCAGCTGGTCGGTGTTTCTCTCTCATCGACGTTTCTAAACTCTCTGTCCCTCTCAATTCCTCTCTGTGTAAAATCAATAAAATATATTAAAAAAACAAAAAAATGTAGACATGAATAACACAGAATCACAGGGTGGTAATTTATAAAAAAAATAAAAAATAAAATAAAAAATTTTTAAAATAATAAAGACAGACAAGATACTGTTTACCCAAAGAGAAGTGGCTTAGACTCATAGAAGACTCTTTCCTCATCATGGACTCCACCTGTGCCTACCTGAAGGCCTTAACCAGGGGAGTACAAAAACAGACACCATCCATGTGTCATCAGAATATTAGCAGCTGCTCTTGCCAATGTGGATTTTTTTATAGCAAGCTTTTTTTTTTTATTATTATTATTATTAGAGATTCCTCACTCCAAGGAATAAAATTATCAAGTATACTAAAAGTAACTAAACAAATGTTTGCCTATAGGCATTAAACAAGTTCAAATAAAGGAAAACAAATAAAACTGCCAACAATTAGGTACCATGCCACTTCAGAAAGAAGACAATTCGAAGGCTTGCCCAAGCTCCTAGAGGGTAGGGAAGACTGATAAATCAAATGTCCAGTGCTGCAAGGCCAAACCTGGCAGTAATTGCCAGCCTCCTATTGCAAACCACAGGAACAAGAATTATAGCTCAGGGGCAAAGACCCCAGGATTACATAACACACCTGTCAGTGCCCCACATGCTCCCCCCCTTTCCAGCTGTGAATAAACCTCCATTCACACATTTCATTCACAGCATGAGCAGCTGCTGTCACTACATCCCACACGACCATACACAAAGCATTACAGCCAGAGCAGCAGCACTGTGAGTAGTCCGTGGAGACTCCCAGTCAGACACTTGGGGAGAGCCTAAAGGCCTAAATTTGAGCTCTACCTTTGGATGGCACCTGGTATTTCCCTGTGGACCACTCACTGTAAAGACGTTAGAATCCCAAGCAGCAGAAACATAGGTTCCTTCACAATCTGAAATACCTGAATCCAGAAAAGGGAGGCTTATTACAGAAATTATTGGTTCCTTGCTGATCCATCACGTTCCTTAAGCAGAATCCCAAGCAATTTTCAACCAAATTTAAAATTACTTAGAAGAGATGGCTTACTCTTCCAAGTTTAAGCATTAAGCTGATGAAAACTATGCTGATCACAATCCACTCCAAATAATTCATCCAGGCAGAGCATTAACCCGGGCAGAACATCAAGAACAACCCTAAGAATCTCAAGTCCTTTCACTACTTGAGGAAATAAGATAGAAAAGAGTTTTCAGCACTCATGCCTGGGTCCCAAGCTTGCAGATTACAGTGCACCCAAACATCGCACCAGATCACTATTTTGGGGGGGAGGATGCAAGCCTTAAACAATCGGGAGGGGGGGGGGAATTCAACATCAATGAAACACCTGGACTAAAGAAATGGAATCTTAAAGCCTTCCCCAAGTTTGGATGCTGATCTGTGGGAGGCCTGGCTGACTAGGGATTTGGGAACCCACAAAGACCTCCTCTGTAATCCGCGCGTGGAAGAGGTTCCGGGGACGGGGTCTACCTCTCCGCGCCATGTGAGGACAAAGACGACCACGTTTCCCGCCTCTGGAGCCTAGGACCCTCTTGGAATTCGAGGCGGGAGTGGGACAAAGAGGAGAGGAGGGGATGAGGATGGGGGTGAGAAGAAGAGGCGCTCCTACCCCGCAGACCCGGATGCTCTGGGCCGGAGCGGGGGGTGTGTTTCCAGCACGTGCGCGCACGCGGAGCGCCGCAACAGACAAAAGCCCGGGCCGGGGGACGCTGAGGCCAGGAGCCCGGTGCGCGCGCACCCCCCACGCGAGGCGCTGCCGCCAAACGAGGGGCCGCGAGGGGGGGAGGACGGGTGCGCGCGCACGGGGCACTCGCCGCCGACGTCGCCATTTTGTTTCCTCGGCACAATGGGGGAGAGTAACGGCTAAACGCGGGAGCACGGCTGGCACAGGAAGAATGAGCTAGGCGCCGGGACAGGGGACCGGGCGGAAGCGGGAAGCCAGGGGCGCCTCTGGCCTTGTCACCGCGATTCTCCAGCCCGGCCCGCGCTAAGTGGGAGGACGGGCGGGGGGAGGGGCAGAGGCGGGAGCGAGCCAGACCGCCGCCACATTGGAGCTTACCTTGTCAGCGTCGCTTCCCCGACCGCAACCGCCGCCGACCGCCTGCCACAACCCTCCGGGATCTCCCCCGCAAAAGCCACGCGGTGCGCACCAGGCTGCTGAGTCCAACTGCAATGGCGAGAAGAGGAGGAGGAGCCGGGGGCGAGCGGGCGGGCGGGCGCGCGCCAGGGAGGTGCGGAGCCACGTGACCGCCCGGGCCCCGCCCCCTCGTCGCCGTGTTGCGTTCGACGCAGGCCCAGCTTAAGAGAGTGGGAGGGACGAAAAGAGAAGGGGGCGGGCTCTGGTCACGTGACGAGGACGTAGACGTTGCGAGCTGGTCACGTGGCGTTGGGACGTTCCCCTCCCCTTTCCACGCTTTTGCTTGGTCATGTGACAGTGGCACAATCCGAGTACTCCTTGGCCACGTGACGAGGGCTTTTCTCTTTCCCTTTGTTCTATTGGTCGGCCTACATCATGTGTGACGACGTCAGCGCTCTTTTATTGACGGTTTTGAGCCGCTTTTTCACGTAGTTCAGATCGAGAGGCAGATGAGGCTTCGAGTCTACGCTCATGCGCGGCCGCCATCTTAAACCCGTCGCCTTGTACGTTGGCGGAAACGCTTCTAGGAATCTGGCTCGTTGAAGTCCTCGTAATAGCTGGGTCTCTGTGGAGGAGGTGTTTCCTCGAAAGGAGGCCTGGCCGCCGAGCTTCCAACCCACTCCGCATCTCTGCAAGAAGCGAAGAAGACCCGAGGTGCGTGTGTCCCGAGCTGCCCAAGTGCCCAGCGAGCTGGTCGGATCTTTCCGCCTCTTCCACTGATGGGTACACTGAGGCGATGCAAAAAAAAGACCTGACTTGAGGCTCCACGGCCCGTTCACGGGAGAACCGATGCTGCGACTCAGACGCTGGGCCACCAGTTTGGGCCTCATAAAGTTCCTGGGGACCGAGCACCTTTTCTTCACAAGCCTGTCGGGGAGCCCTCCCGAGCGCCGTGTAAGGTCCCTGATGTACCATCTGTGTCTAAACTAAGCTCTCCTATCCTCCAGTGTAAGGATCAGCCTGGCGCTCGGCAGGCATCCTTGTTAGATGAGGCTGGGTCCAGAATAATGAGTTGTTGAAAAGGTGAGAAGTTAAAGATATAGCCTAGTAGCGGGTCTTCCTTGCAAAACGTAGGGACGGCACAGTTAATTTGTAAATGATGCAATGTCCAGTGCCTGCGCTAGGTTTGAGGCCCCCCCCGGTCAATCCAAGGACTGATCGATTCCTCGTTTCCTTTTATACAAAATAGTAATAATTAAAAAAGCACTTGGCGAATTTTAGTGCAGGGCAAATGCCCCAAAATTATAGCTATTATTAAAAAGTCAGGTGCCCCTGGCCTGGTTACTCAATTGCTTGAAACTTCCTTCTGTACAACAAAAGGTAGCAGGTTTGGTTCTCGTCAGGGCACCTACCTAGGTTTATAGTTTAATTCATGATTGGGTGCCTTTGGGAGGCAACCCATCAAAGTTTCTCATATCCATGCTTCTCCCCTCCCACCCCACCCCCACCTTTCTCTCTTTAAAAACAAACAAACAAACAAACATTCTCAGGCCTCTCCCTCTGGGCGTGCCCTGCCTTTCCCTTTCCTTTTCCCTTCCCTCTCCTCCCTGCCCAAGGCCTGTTACCATTAGCTTCCTCACTCCCAAGCTCCAAGGGCTCTTTAATCTTTATATAAGTTCTTTTATAAGCCAA